GCCCCCCCGCCGGGCCCCGAGGGCTGCAGGGACCCCCGGCCCCAGCACGGGCAAGCGGGGAGCCAACCACAGGGGAAGGGAGCAAAGAGCCAGATGGTGAGGCCCTCCGCTCCCACCACCTCCCACGACCTCCCCTGTGTTCAGTTGCCGCCAGGCCCCACTCCTCGGCCCGTGGCCAGCCAAGCAGCCGCAGCCAGTCCGGATACTCGGAGCCACTCCGGGGAGGCCAGGCCCTATGGCGGGCGCGGAGGGATCCCAGAGCCCAGCGGCCAGACTTCTCCTCCCGTTTGCCCTTCAGGATGACGTTTCCTTAACCCAAACACCTATCGGCTTTAATTTAACAAAGGAATCATAATACCCTTGATTCCTTTTACCTTCTGCACGCTCTGCTTTTGCTATACCTGTTGCTTATTTGTAATAACATTAGCCCAAATGAAAGGTTCCACAAATTATTAATTTTTCACACTAGAAAGGAGAAGCTGCATTGGAAACGGGCAGGCAAGGTGTAAACTCCCTGGGAACGGTGGAGGCTTTATATTCCGGCTGCACAAATTACTTGCATAACAGTTTGCTGAAGTATTGTAAGATTAGCTACGACAAATTTGCACAACCCCAAATATTCATTTTTTAATCATTGCTCAGTGTTGCAAAAGAGACTTAGTCTTCAAATAAATATTCCGTTTCACTGGGCTCTCACATATCAATTGGGTAGCAGATGTTCTTGTTATTGTGTTTGAGGAAACCCACTGCTTGAAACGCAAACTCCATAATTCTTTCTCCCCCCTGTGCTCAGGATGAGCTGATGGCGGAACTGGAAGAACTGGAGCAGGAAGAATTAAATAAGAAGATGACAAACATCCGGCTTCCGAATGTGCCTTCCTCCTCCCTCCCGGCGCAGCCAGACCCAACGCCCGGCTCCTCGGCCCCGGCCGCTAGGCCCCGAGCAGGTGTGTCCCCACCTCCGTGACCTAAAATAGGAGCCTGACCCATATCCCCGTCAGCGCTTACTTTTATTCCCTAAGTATACTCATTTTATACATAAGTCACACCTGCTTTCTATGCCAACGTGTGAATGTCACCAATTACTAACTTGCATCCGCTTTCTGTCCCAGCACCTTCCCGGCGGGCAGGCGGAGAGGACGAGGACCTCAAGCACCTGGCAGCGTGGGCCTCCTAACTGGGAGGGAGCTGTTCTGACGCCTAAATCTACGAGCTGTACATAAGACATAAACAATATTTTTGCCAAGTTCAGAAGTGAGCAGAGGCCCCGTTTTATATTTATGGATGATGACTGTCTGTCAGCCTCACACGTAAAAGTAAAAGAAGGGAGTGGGGTCAGAGGGGGCTGCCCAGGGCCCTGAGGAAGACCTTGCACGAGGGGGGCCTCTGCCTGCTCCCCACTGAACCCCAGGCCTGACACACGCCAGTGCTCGCTCTGTATCTGTGGACAGGAAACGGAAGTCTGTTCTCATATCAAACACAGAACCGTTTAAAAGCCCCTGAGGAGCGAGGCGGCTGGCGGAGCTGGGGAAGTGACTTCTGTTCTGTGCGCCCACGTAGTGGGCTGTGGCGCCACGGAAGGTGCAGAGGCACCGCGGAGAGGCTGTACGTGGGGACGACCTGGCGAGTCTACCACAGAGTTTCACTGGAGTTCGGCCGTTTGAAATCTTAAAGGATCCTTAATTGACATTCATTCCGCCAATGAAGCCGGGGAGGGGCCACGGATGCAGCTCCCGAATGTCTAAAAGTGCGAATAGCTCCCTCTGCCCGCTGGCTCTCCCGCTGTGACTCAGGCACCAGGCGGCTGCTGATTCCCCCCAGCGATGCCTCAGAGCGTGCCAGTGTTCACGTTCGTCTGCCCTGTGCTCTGCACATTAACTTACACTGCAGCCTTTTCTTGTAAATACATTAAAAATATAGGCATTTTTGAAACCGGTTTGGCTCAGTGGATAGAGCGTCAGCCTGTGGACTGAGGGGTCCCAGGTTCGATTCCGGTCAAGGGCATGTGCCTGGGTTGCGGGCACATCTGATGTGCAGGAGGCGGCTGATCGATGTTTCTAACTTTCTATCTCTCTCCCTTCCTCTCTGTAAAAAATCAATAAAATATATTTTAAGAAAAAAAAATATAGGCATTTTAAAGTGTGTCTTGAATGACATTTTGGCCTTTGTTATTATTATTACAAGAGGCCTAGTGCACGAAATTTGTGCACTGGGTGGGGGGAGTCCCTCAGCCTGGCCTGCACCCTCTTACAGTCTGGGACCCCTGGGGGATGTCTGCCTGCTGGCTTAGGCCAGCAATCAGACATCCCTCTGGCAGACATCCCTCTCACAGTCTGGGACCCCTTGCTCCTTACTGCTCATCTGCTTGCTGCTCCTTACTGCTCAGGTCACTGCTCCTTAGCACTGCTGTGGAGACGGGAGAAGCTCCCACCACTGCCACTGAGCTCACCAGCTGTGAGCCTGGCTTCTGGCTGAGCAGTGCTCCCCCTGTGGGAGTGCACTGACCACCAGGGGCAGCTTCTGCATTGAGTGTCTGCCCCCTGGTGGTCAGTGTGCATTATAGCGACTGATCTTTCTGGTTGTTCCACATAACGGTCGCTAGGCTTTTGTTATACAGATTTTTAATCCTCACCCAAGGATATTTTTCCATTGATTTTTAGAGAGACTGGAAGAGAGAGGGAAAGACAGAGAGAAATATTGATGTGAGAGAAACACATTGATTGGTTGCCTCCTGCCCAAGCCCCGACCAGGTCCCAGGCCGGGGAGGAGCCTGCTACCTCTGTACATGCCCTTGACTAGAATTGAACCTGGGACCCTTCGGTCTGCAAGCCGACACTCTATCCACTGAACCAAACCGGCCAGGGCTGGTCGTAATTATTTTTAAATAAAAACATGTTGCAAAATTATGTATTGCTCAGACTATGTCACGGAAAATAAAATGACAATGTCATTATATAGGGTGTTCCCAACATTTGCTTAGCGAGAGAGCTGGGCGTGGAGGTGGGGTCCTGATTCCAGCGCCTGCCCTGCCACTTGCACCTTCGAGGACCCGGGCCTCTGTCTTCATTGGGAAACCTAAGGGCTGCACGCGACGATCTCTAAGGTTCAGTCCTGCCACAGGCCCTCTGCATAAGCAGTTCTTCTTAGCAGTGTTCTCACTCGACAGCACAGGTACCACACCCGACGTGAAACGTCCATTATCTGGGGACATTTTTTCTTGATGGCACAGACTAAGTCAGGTCTCCCTCTACAGTGTCCACGGCACTTGGCTTTCTTGCCTATCGCCCGTCAGAGTTCCCATTGTGTCTTTACTTGAACTATTACGCAGTTGTCGCTCTTCCTCCCCGAGGTCTGGTGACCCTGAGGCCGAGCTGCCGCTCTCAGCTCAATGGGGCCTCCCCAGCAGAGCTCCTCGCAGGCCGAGGCGTCCGGTAAGCGTTTAGTGAAGGAACCGAGAGCAGGTTTACACCCTGGGCCATCACCGGAACCTGAGTGACCTTCTACCTTCAAAACTGGACAGAGCACAGGAAACGGCAGTTTCCAGACATTGGACCACAGGCACCGCTAGACTGACCCCTGAGGGAGAAACTGGTGAGGGGCCCTCAGTGCCGCAGGTGCCTTAAAGGGAGGGGAGCCCGAGAGCTTGGTGGTCTGAGGGAGGGAGGAAAGGAAGAAGAGAGAGAGAGAGAGAGAGAGAACACTCTGGCGACCAGATGGTCAGGGGGTCCCTGCGGGTGGGGCTGGGCACTGACGTGTGTCCATGTGGTAAGAAATGACTGAGGCGCACAGGAGCCACTAGGAGAAGTGGCAGGTCCCTCCCAGGGCTCACACAGTCTGGGGACAGTTTGTGTTCCCACAGCCTCGGTGGAGAGACCCCCTAATCCGGGGGCATGGGGCTGAGCCCTCAGAAGGGCGTGGCTCACTAGTGAGGTCCAATTGTGCTCAGACCAAAGGCTGCTCTGGGCCCACCCTGAACAACTAAAAGCAAATGTCAAAAGAATGAAATGATTCCAAGTCCTTTACGCATCCAAGGACAAACCCCCCGAGACTTAAAGGAATATATAAAAGCTGACAAGTAACAAGAACAAAACAACTAAAATAAAACCCTGGCACCCAAATCTTTGAGTTTCAGAGACAGAATAAAAAGAGCATGGACTGTCTCATTAACACTCCCATAATGCTTCACGTTGAAATATTATTTTAGATGTATTGGGTTACATAAACTATTCAAATTTATCTCAGCTGTTTCTTTTGCCCTTTTAGACTGTGGCTATTTGGAAATGAAGCATTGCATGTATGGCTCACATTATATTTCTGTTGGTTAGCCTTGGGCAAGAAGATAGATTCCTCATTATCGACGAGTGCACAGATAATTTGAAGTACTAAAATGACAAATTGTTAAAAATAAAGAAAATTTTTCAAAAGGTGCCATCTTATTTTGAAAAGAAAAAATGCTTTGAAATAAAATCATAATATTGCATTTCTGTTGGCAGTAAAGAGAGTGAAAGACAAGAGAGAAAAGGTGTAAGAGTAAATCATCCTTAGATGGAAGAGTATGAAAAATAATAAAGGTGTTAATCTGACACCTAAAGGCATTCCAGCAAGACAGCCTTAGCACAGAAGGGCTCTTGTACGTTCTGGGAGGCTTGCTACCGATTGGTCTCAGTGCATCACATGGTACCTCAGGGCAATGCTGAGTAGCTACTCTGTGGTGTTTTGTATTTTTAAATAAATGTCTTCCAATATATCAGTTGGGTTCTTCTGTTCTTTTGGGCTGTATGATACACATTCCGGATAACTTGAGCGACAGACTTGGATTACTTGGAAGTACTTGGAAATGTGTAAAATGCAAATCAGACCAGAGGCTCTGGAGCTCATGGGAGCCAGATCCCGGGGACTCCACCCTCTGAGGAGTCCGCCAACTGTCGGGAAAAGTGAGCAAGATGTTATTCTGCTCCCGAGTCTAGGTCGCGAGCCAGAATATTTGATTGGCCAAGCTTGGCTCTGGAGTCAGCCATCTGGACGCTCATGAATGAGAAGCAGGGAGGCAGGTTTGCTAAAGCATAATCCAGGCATCCGGCCTGAAGAAGGGGGGCTGGATGCTGGCCGCCCCAAACCTGACAACTCCACCCCAAACAATAGGTGTCCACTCCGCACTGAGAATAATTAAGGCAGAACTGCAGCTTTTTCTCATTCTTGGCAAACAGAGTCTGAGCACTGGTTTACTTAGTAGAAATTGGAGTAGCAAATCCTTTATACAACAGAACGGTAGGTGTCTTGTGAAAACGAACTGGATAATGTATCTAAGTTAGCAATCCAAACCAGGAGAAGAAGACAACAGAAGGAAAAATCCAGAGAAGCTGAGACTAATGAAGATATCTCCGTGCCGTTACATGACGGCCCTAGGGAGCAACCTGATGAAATCTTAGTCGATTTCAATTTCATCTCCCCACATCCTTTCCTCTGTTCCCTTAATTTAAGATAGATCTTAACATTTGTGCTGGAGAAAGCATTTCTTAAAAGAACGAAAAGTCCTCTTCGGACTTCAAATTCACTTTGCATAATTTGTTTTCTGGCTTACTGGAAGTTTTACTGCACTATGTGAAAGACATGTGGGCTGTTTTTCAGAAAAATATGACTTATATATATTAAGGGAGTACAGATAAGGCAGAGCAGTGAAGTTATTTAGAAGAGAGATGTCTAAATACTCAGCAGAAGGCAACATCTCTGATGATGAATGGTTCTTCTGGAAATGCCCAGTATTCGCAGGCTATCAAGGTCATATCCACATGGTTCTTCAGGATATCAGGAGGCTTCCTTACAGCAGGAAAATCACTCCAACCCAGACCTCTCTGAAAAGGTGGCATGTATGTAGTTGATTGTTTTTCCATATGAATCCTATCTAATAAAAGAGAAACATGGTAATTAGCGTACGGCCGTTACCCTTCCCATTGGCTAATCAGGGTGATAAGCAAATTAACTGCCAGCCAAGATGGCGGCCAGCAGCCAGGCAGCTTAAACTGAACATGAGGCTTGCTTGCTTCAGTGACGGAGGGCTGCAGCATTCCCTTCCTGCCTTGGTGGCCTCTGAGCTTGCAGTTTAAGAAACATTGTAACATATAGAAGCTAAACAAAACCCCAGACACCAGATTTCAGCTGGC